GCAACTGAGGCTTAAGTCAAGTAAATACGGATGCCCAGGGAGTAAATATTATTTTTAAATCAATTAACTCCCATGTTACATAGCATAGCATCCACTGTCTTCCTGTGTCTATACAAAAAGGACATTGCTAAATAAACCATCCAAATGATATAAAGGAAAGAGAAAAGCAATATAGGATTATTAGTTGTGCTTCCGTTTCACTGTTGTAGGAGTGGCTCAATTAACAAGCTCCTTGTGGGAGCAGCAAAGACAACCCAGTGTTACCCAACACTGAGGTAACCGGTGAGCTCTGGCAGGGGGCCTTGCTTGAGCCCGGCTGCCACTATGCTGAGTGGTCCCTTCTCGGGGTCCCACGTTGCTGGGTTCCTGGCGCCTTTGGTGAGAGCCGGTTCCTAGGAAGACAGCAACTCGGGCTTTGCTCCGACCACACTCCATACCCGCGCCAGAGCCTTGGCGTCTCCACCGACACCAGCGTCCTGGATCCCATCCCTGTGGCTCTGGGTGTTTGCGGGGTTGTCTTTATGAAAGCCTGTACTGAGCCAGGGCTGGGCGGGAGGCAGCTGGCCAGCACCCAGCCTGTGCCCCGGGGACTCTGGCTGTCGGCCCCTCAGGTGTTTGTGCTGGGGTGATCCATAGGTCAAGATGGGGGGGTGGCATGAAAGACAGGCCACCTGGAACCTAGCACCTCTGAGTTCTTGCTCTCCGTGCTAAGCACTGGCAGTCGGGCTGATCTGGTCAGTACGGGTGCTATTGACCCGCCGCGGGCGAACTTCAGTTACTGATGCATGCTAGTAAACTGTGAGCTGGCACCCTCTGCCCGGCGTCGTGTTGTTTCCAGGGCTTCATTGTATGTGCTATTTCGGAGGCTTGGACTTGGAGCCATGGCAGAGAGGGCAGAGAGCTTGTCTCGCTCTCAGTCAGCCCTGCTCACCGCACCGCATATGGTCCCTTGAGCCCAGGGACTCTCATCCGTGCCCTGCCCGGGACACCAAGGCCACTGCAGCAGTGCAGTGGAGGACCCTATCGGGAGAGCCTCCAGGGCTGTACCCACCACGCTCGGGGACTCCAGAATGCCTGGAAGTGAAGCCACAGGTGTCTGCCCTAACTCACAGATAACTTCCTGGCTGGCCCTGACATTTTGCTGTTTGGGGATTCTGCCGTTGGCCGTGCCTCTAGCCATGCGGTCAGGACACCAGCCGTTATTCATCCGGCTGCCGTTGCTTGGGGGTTCTCCGCTCTTGGCACCCCTAGACTCTGGTCTTAATGCACAGCTTCCCGGCCCTCCCATGCACTCTGGAGAAGAGCTCAAGGTTCACCCCTCCAGCAGGCCAGATACGGGGGAGCAGCATGGGAGACCTCTGGGCCTGGACCTGGGCACTCCCTGGGGTGCGTGTTCCTGTCCGTCTGCGTGGCAGGGCTGGCGGTGGCTGCCGTGTTTTAGCCCACTTCAGCAGCGCGACCCGTGGCAAGCGGAACCCCGATGGACTGTGGAGACAGGCACCTAGGGCGCCCAGGAGTTGGGAGCGGACTTTGCAGACTCTGTGTGTATGTGTGTGTGTGTGTGTGTGTGTGTGTGTGTGTGTGTGTGTGTGGTGTTTGGCTGGGGTGGAGGTGGGAACAGGGTCATAACATTGTTGCTCAGGGCTTTCTCCTAGCTCTGCACTTGAGGGTCACTCCCGGTGGCCCTAGGGATCAAACCCCGGAGGGCCACGTGCAAAGCGAGTGCCCTTAGCTGCTGTACTAACTCTCCAGCCCTGAAATCCTGTGTGAGATTTTTGGTTTTTATTGCGTTCAGTTTTTTTTGTTTCTTGGCCATACCTGGCCGTGCTGGTGTGTGGTGGGGGAAATGCCCCCCACTCCTGCCCTACCACCATTTCCTTTTTGTCTATGGCCAGAGCTGCTTAGGCCCAGTGAGGAAGCAGAGACACATCGAGTCTGGCCGCCTGGCTTCGGGGGGACTCAGGCCACGCGCTCTCGCTCGGAGGAGCTAGCCCGTGTCCCGGGCCCTCGCCTTCCTAAGGCTCTCGTGACGGTGTGTCTTTTCTGGAATTTGACTCAGCAGCTTGAGTGCTCGGAATTAAGTACGCTGTTAGGATGAAGTCCACTGTTGGCGTATTCAGTCCTGTGCAGTCCTATAAAGAGCTTCCTCATCCTTTATCTCCCGGGTTTGTTACAGATAACCTTTGGCCCACATAGCTGGGATTCCTGCAGAGGCACTTCTTTCTCTGTGGTCCAGCCTCTCCTTGGCTTCTGTGCACCCGCAAGTCCAGCTACCTTAGCTGCGCTCGAGACTGCCGGCTCCCTCCCTGCGCTGGCCAGGCTCAGCACCGCCGCCGTTTCTTCTCGGTGCTTTCCCCGTCTTCCTGGCACCCCGGCCATCCACATGGAAGGTGTCATTTTGAGACCCAACCGTTTGGCTCCCTAAGACCGCTCCTCATCAGGGAAGTTCCTTTCAGAACTTAATCAAGGGTTCAGTATGTAGTTAAGCAACACTTTGTGTAGGACAAACACAGGGACAATCCTAGCCTTTATTGTACTGACAGTTCTTCAATCAAAACGGTGTCAGAGATAAGATAAGTTATATGGCCTCGGTGTGTGGCCCCGAGGTTGAGTTGTTGGCAGGGGAGGTTGAGCGAGACCACGAATTGGCCGTCCAGGACTTTCCACAGGGGGAGCTGACTGCCTAATCACCTGCCTCGAACCCCAGAGATTCTTGAAGATCCTTTGTGATTAGCCAAACAAAATAAAGAGTGAGAACATACTAAACCCAGTGGTCATGCCAGCAGAGGGGTCTTCCTGGAGGCTGTGTAGTCTGCTTTTTGGGGGGGGGGGGGATCATGCAGGAAGATTTATTTGTTCTGTTTGTTTGAACCGTGTGTGCTATATAGTTCAGTGCTTGTTTGAGAAAAAGATGTGAACATTTTAGGTTCATTTTATTGTAGGACTCGGTAAATAAGAGTCAGAGTTAAGCTTTTTATCCTTGGGTTTCTAACAGCTACTGCTGAGGTGAGCCTTATATGTTCCGATTATCTGAAGATAAGGCTGCAACTCATTGGCTCAAAGTTCAAAGGGAAGCTTTAGCTTCAAGGACATAAATCGTAGAGTTGTTAGCCCATTTGTAACCCAAGGGCAGAAGAGCAACATTAATCTGGACAATTCATCATACTAAAGAAAGAAATCAAAATTGCGCTCCACCCCCTCCCCCCAATTTTTTCCTCTTTATTACTGTGTCTGAACTTTCAGTGTGTTTTCCACAGAGGAAGAGAAGTTCGAAATAAAGCAATGACCAGTCTCTTGCAGTGATTACAAAATAGCTTAGTTGCTAAGTACGGTTACGGATCATCTTTGTTTTGATGCATGAAGCTGGGGCATCAGTTCATGTATATTCAACTTGTTTTCCCACGGAGGGAGGGAGAAGGTCACCCGGGCTAGGATACAGGAGCAGGACTGAGGCCCTCTGGGAAAACTGGGGGTTTCTGCAGCTTAGAAACAGGCCTACATGCCTGGGTCAGGTCTCAGCTCTAGTCATCGCCTATGTGTGAAGAGTGCACATAAATGAAGATGACCCAGAAGTCATGGTTTCCCCATCCCACTGGTGTTGGTTTGTACAGTTATAGAAACAAACTATTGAGTAGAGTTAGCTACAGGGTTGGGCGCTTTTTAGTTCATTTGTTTTACCTTTTTAAACTTCCACAACATCCCACGACATGAAAATGCTCGAGCGGGCCCAGTAACGTCTCCATTGGAGACTTTGCTGTTACTGTGTCTGGCATATCGAATACTCTCGGTAGCTTGCCGAGCTCTCCGAGAGGGGCGGAGGAATCGAACTCGGGTCAGCCATGTTGGCCGCTTGTAAGGCGAACGCCCTACCCACTGTGCTATCGTGAAAATGATGACTATATTTTGCCTGATAAATAGCTTTCCTGTTTATCACGGTCATGGTCCTCCCGTTGTTCATCAATTTGCTCGAGCGGGCCCAATAACGTCTCCTTCGTGAGACTTGTTGTTACTGTGTTTGGCATATCGAATACGTCATGGGGAGCTTGCCAGGCTCTGCCGTGCGGGCGAGATACTCTCGGTAGCTTGCCGGGCTCTCCGAAGGGGCGGAGGAATCGAACTCGGGTCGGCCATGTTGCCTGCGTGCAAGGCAAACGCCCTATCACTGTGCTATCGCTCCCGCCCGTCCTGTTTATCATTCAGAGAAAATGATGTTTCAGTCATGGCGTTTCATATGGAACTGTTCGAAATGCTCAGAACAGAGAGAATTTCATTATAGAAATTCTTAATTTCTAAGAACGTCAGGGGTTGATTTAGGCCTCATAGGGGTAGCAGGCTAGGCTCTCTTGGATGACTGAATTTTGAGCTATCTGAATATATTGTCATTAGTCCAGTAGCAAATTATAAGACACATCATCAATAATAACTGAAACTGATGTATTTCCTCAAGCATTAAAAAGTTCAGACTTTTGAGTCATCTCTTTTGAATAAAACAGATCTTAGTTCTACCTAATACTATTTCATGTCACAGCACTAATCACATTTGTATGGGAACATTCTGGACTGTAGAAGCAAACGGAGTTGCCTTTAGTCATGCTGAGATGATAGAAACCGGTGTGGAGTGAGCTTGCTCCGCAGTGGCCCAGTTTAGGGACCTGCTGAACTTGGGAATGTCCTCGGTTTGGGAGAGAAGAAGGTCAGACCTGCAGTTCTCTTTGAAAACATTGACAATAACAGATAAACTGCGGAATGATGTGCTCAATGAGCTACAGTCCAAATAGAGGAAATTTAATGGGAAGCGATTCCATTAGTAGCAGCTGGGCTGGCTTCCTGGACTGCAGTCATGCTGGAAACCCTAGACCCGCTTACACTTCTTTCCCAGATTTGGGGCCCGATAAAGAGAGAGATAAAGAGATTTGTTTATTTGGTGTGCTTTTGTGACTCTTACTGTGTCATTTGGATGATTCTTTCTTTTCTTTTTTTTTTTTAAAAAAAACAACTAGGCGATTTTTATGATTCCCACAAATCCACCGCCGACATTCAGGAAGCCAGAGCTGTGGTCTGACGATTTTACCGACTTTGTCAAAAAGTGCCTGGTGAAGAATCCCGAGCAGAGGGCCACAGCCACGCAGCTGCTGCAGGTCAGTGCCACTCGCCCGCGGGAGGCAGAGGAAACCCCTCCGCCGTCGGCCCGGCCCCAGAGACTACGGGTTTCTGCTGACTGATTTCTGAAGAGTGAGCGTCTTTGGGAAAGACATCGCTGGACACCCCCACCACGCGTGTCGTGTGCACACACAGACTCACACACGCACTCATACACGCAGACACACACAGAAATACAGATACACTCTCACACACAGATACACACACACATACTCAGACACACACACACAGACACACTCACATAGACGCACACTCACACACACTCACACAGATACACACTCACACAGACGCACACTCACACAGACACACAAACTCATACAGACTCACATACACTCACATACACACACACACACACACACACTCTTTTATATGATCTTTGTATCGTGGTAAATTTTGTTTCCTAGTTTCGGTTCTTCTGTTCTTTTCCTTTCCTATTAAAAAAAAAAAAGATTGTCAAGTCTCCCCCCCCCCCCCCACCTCCCACCTCCCTTTCTTCAGCAAGTTCTTGCCTGGGCCGGGGCCGTTTCGAGCGGGTCTTCCCCTGGTGTAGTCCCCTAACCCCCGCGTTTCTGCTCTGCCTGTTTGCTGGTTCCTCCTCCATGATTCAAGCCGCACGTGGTGAGGGCTGGACGACGCTGGCGCCGTGTCCTCCACATGAAGGCTTCCCCGTCTCTGCCAAAGTCCACTTTGTAGCCAGTGTCTGTATAGTTGCTTTGTTTTTAAAATCTGCCCTGTGGGCTAAGGGGCCTACCCTGCACAGAGTATCGATCCCCGCAGCCCTCTGAGCACAGAGGCAGGAGTAAGCCCCCGGGTCCCAGTGAGTGTGACCCCCAGACAAAATAAATTTACTACAACTAGAAATCATTTACTACTTTAAGTAAGTGATTTTTCTTGTAAGTATTTTCCCAGCAGCACTGGCTCGGGTCTCCTGAGTAATCGTGTGCCTCCCACTAACAGAACCTTTATTTGGAAACTTAAATGTAAGAGACAAAAAGATTGACAACTCAGTTCTTAGGCAAAGTGATTTTTCCGAGGCACTATTATGAAAACAGTTTGGGGGGGGGGGGGTTGGAGAACGAGAGAGAGGGGTGGGGAGAGAGAGAGAGAGAGAGAGAGAGAGAGAGAGAGAGAGAGAGAGAGAGAGCAGGCTCTTATATCCAGCCAACATGTAAGGCATTTGGCGTTATATCTGTCTGAAATGCAGTTCCATTTGTTCTGTAATCCAGCAGTGACATGTCCAAAAACATTGCTCTAGAGATGACTGTAACCACGTGTGATCTAGCACATGCATAAAATTCTTCCTAGAGCACTGTACTGGCAAAAGATCGGAAACAACATAAATATCTGTCGGAAGTGGGAGGCCGTCTAAGTCTGTCAAGAGAGTGTTTGGCAAAGTGCATTTACGGGCACGCAAGTCTGTGCGTTGATGCCCGGGCAGTGATTGAGGGTCGCTGCTGGGGGCCGTGAGCTAGATGAGGCCCTTGGAGACTGATCTGTAGCTGAGAAGCAGACTCTGAGAGCGGCTTCATTCTCTTGGTCGGGTTTTGGGGGCAGTGTCAGGGATCCAACCCAGAATTAATTTTTTCCCCTGGGTGCTCCTTTTGACCCTTTTGTGGTTTGTACAACTCTTAACCTTTCCCAAAGTTATTTAGTGGGAACATTTATTTTAAAATGTTGTCAGCGTTTCAAACGAAGTTTTGGTACACAAGTCAAGGTCCTTTTGGTATTACTGTTGTTTGGCGAATTTCAAGTGCCCAGCTCCAAAGAAGTGAACCATAAAACAAGTGGAGTGAGTAGCCCAATATATGATCCTGATTGTACTTCCAAATGTGGCACTTTTAAAAGAAATCTCAGGGCTAGGACGAAGGAGACGTTACTGGGGCCTGCTCGAGGCAGTCGACGAATAACAGGATGGTGGTGACTGTTGTGATTGTACTTCCAAGTACATTTGATAGTGCTTGGATAAATTAGTGTTCTTTTTAATCTTCTTTAACCTTTTCTCATCTCGAGAAAGATGGCGCTTAAGAAAGAAATTGTGCTATTTTTAACTTAGCGTTTTTCACGGCTATGAGCCATAATCAAGTCAAGTAACTTCCCTGCCTGGATCTAGCTCTGCACCCCGTTTCCCAGTGACGTTTCTGCTCTGCTGATAAGCAGCTCTTCCCACGCCGTTAGATTGTATTCCCGTGTGTGTGTGTGTGTGTGTGTGTGTGAGAGAGAGAGAGAGAGAGAGAGAGAGAGCATGCAGGCATGTGCATATACGTACGTATGTGTGTGCGATTGTGTGTTGTACATGTGCGAGTGAGAGTTTGTGTGTATGCTGCCTCTGTGTGCTTGTGCAGATGCGCACATGCAGGTATGTTCGTATATAAGTGTCTGTGTTTGCCTGTGCGTGAGTGTGGTGAGTGTGCGTGTGCGTGTGTGTGCGTGCACGCGCGCGTGGGAGTAACTCGCCACATTCAGACTTTCGCTCCTTCCTGGCATGGTCATTTTGTTCCATCCGAGACCCCCGAAATCCCCTCGCTCCTCTCCCCATCCCTGCCAGACAGCTGTGCTCTGTGCCAGGCACTCTTTCCTGAGTGTTTGTTTTCTCGTTCCTTCCTCGACAGAACTTCGGGCCGTATTTACAGCCTCTCCTCCTGCTCCCTTGTCACGTTCTCTTGCTTCAAGGAAAGAGCAGAAGTGCCGCTTCGTGCTGGCGGCCGCCTGGCCGTGCGGAGGAATGCAGCTAACGCTGTGATTTTATCTAAATCAGGATTGTTGGATTTTTCTTCTTCTTCTTCTTCTTCTTTGTTTTAAGTAAAACTCTGTGTTATGTAAAGTATAGAAATGAGCTTATGTTTGTATTCAGACAAGTATTTTTCTTTTATTGCCATTTTAGTTTATCCGTTGAAAAAGATTTAAATTCTTTGAGACAGATGAAAAGAGAAGATAAGTAAAAGAAGTAACAAAATAGTTTCTCTCCTTTTGACCACTGATTCTGGCTGTCAGCTTGCTAAGATCAATTAAATTCTATAACAAATAGCAGAACAGTTTTATTTTTATATGCAGTATAATCACCGATATTTAATAAATTTTCATCTGCTCCATTATCCAATCTATACTTACTTTGGACAATTATATTGTTAAGTGTAACATGGTTTTAGTTACAGGGCTGTTTTTACTGTACTTTAGTGAGGTTTTGCAATCAAAGAGAACCCCAAAAGCAAAATATGTATTTCTGAAGCCGTTAAAATACCCCTTTCTTAACCTTGACATCGAATTCCAGATGAAAGAACAGTCGCCGTACACGGTGAGCCTAGTTTAACGTTTTAAAATGGCGGCAGGGAAACATTTTGCATTCATGCCGTTGACTTTCTCTCCCTAGCACCCTTTCATCAAGAATGCCAAGCCGGTATCGATCTTGCGAGACCTGATCACGGAAGCCATGGAGATCAAGGCCAAGAGGCACGAGGAGCAGCAGCGGGAGCTGGAGGAGGAGGAAGAAAATTCGGTTCGTATTTGCCCCCAAAATGCTTATTTTCTTCCTTTCTTTTTCTTTCTCCCCCCACCCCTTTTTTTATTGATTCACGGTGAGGTACAGTAACAGAGCTTTCATGTTTGAGCTTCGATCACTGTCACTGCCACTGTCCTCCCGTTGTTCATCGATTTGCTCGAGCGGGCTCAGTAACGCCTCCATCCATTGGAGACTTTGTTGTTACTGTGTCTGGCATATCGAGTACGTCACGGGGAGCTTGCCAGCCTCTGCCGTGCGGGCGAGAGCCTTTCGGTAGCTTGCCGGGCTCTCCGAGAGGGGCGGAGGAATCGAACTCGGGTCGGCCATGTGGGCTGCGTGCAAGGCAAACGCCCTGCCGCTGTGCTATCACACAGTCATCAAATACCCGTCCCTTCACCAGAGCACATTTTCCACCACCAAAGTCCCCAATGCGTACCCCCCATTCCACACCTCCCCCTGCCTCTGGCAGAAAATTTGCACCATACTCTCTTTCTCTACTTTGGTTACCGTCGATATTTGAGCCCGGTCCCACCCCCACTCATACCTCCTGAAGATGCAGTGCTGGGCGGTGTGTTTTGTATTGCTTGCTGTGGACACAGTGTAATGTCTGGGAATGCTAAAATTTTAATAATTAGGGTCCGGAGAGATTGCTGCAGCGAGTTGCTCGGGTCTGAGATTCATGTGGGGGTCTCATGACCATGTGGGAGCTTAAGTAGACAGTGGCCGTGTGTGGGCGTCATCTCAGAGTCCCATTGGGGCGGAGAGAAGAAGGGCCTGCTCCTTCCCTGTCCCGTGAGGCCTGGCGTTTCCCGCCACCACCACCCATACCTGGAGCTTTTCTCTGAGTTCGAGAAGAGGTCAGCCGCAGGGATGCCTAGAGGGCAGGTGGAGGAATGGCACCTGCCCCCAACTTGAGTGGCCCAGCGAAAATGGCCTATTGCAAAGTCCAGAGCCATCTCTGCAGCAAGTCACTCAGGTCCGAGATTCGTTTGTGTGTCTCTTTCTTCATTATTCTATAGTGTTTTTTTTTTAATTTGCTTGACACATAGGAAGAGCATGTACTGTCTTATTACACCAGGGAGGTGACTGTGTTGATGCAATGAAAACATGTCGGATATTTTCTGTCCTTTAGGAATGCCTTCAGAATGAGTGATAGGTGTCAGGGAAGGCCGCTCTGGGTGGGCTTGCCTGGGCTTTAGTCATACTAACTCAGTGTCTTTTGAATAAATGTTGTCTTGAGTTCCTTCAGTTTTGTGCCCTCTTCTCTGGAAATATGTGTGCTATAGAGACACCCCCTGCGATGGGTGTGCTAAAGACAGCAGGGGACCCCAGAACTCCCATAATGAACCAGCTTAATTCATTTTCTTTATGTTGACAAGTCTCTGTGTTTTAATCACCAGATATCTTTAAGTCACAGTTTTAATTTAATTTTTGGTGCTTACATACCTTTGCTAGTGAGTTTCCTCCTTGTTTCGAAGAATAAATTATTTTTCCGGTTACTTGGAGCAGAATCGCTCCCTGCAGAGTGTTCCTGTCTGCCCCGGGTCCTGCCCGCTGGCCCTGTACCCATGAGCACTGAAAGCCCGGCCTGTCTGCCTGCTGCTCTGAGTGGGTGACAGGCTGGGTGCGCCCATACCACAGCTCCCAGCCCGTCTCGCATTTAGGACCCTCTGTCTCTTCCCACCCCGAACCCCAGCTCCAAACCCTTTCATTTCTTTACCTTCCCTCTGCGGGAAACCCTCTCCCACACACTTGTGGAATGACCAGGTGCCCTTCTCATCTCTGGGGTGCTGACCCAGTCCCCTGCCCTATGTGTACAGACTGACCCCCGAAGCCTGGAGCTCAGTGGGATGGTGCCAGCCGCCTCCGTGCGGGCCTTGGCGGCGATGGCCTTCTGAAGACCTGGGCACGTGTGGAGCCAGCTTGGTCCCCTCCCCTAGGGGACTGCCGAGAGGCCCCTTCAGAGCCGGGGCCTCTGAGAGCGAAGGTGCTAGAGTGGGACGGGAAGGGGTCACAGGCACTGGGGCAGAGTCCAGGGCACGGCACCTCGGTACTGTCACTTCCCACATGTGCCACTCTGGTCCAGGACAAGGCGGAATCCGGAGCTCCAGGGACCAGTGTGTATCCTTAGAGGCAGCCACCAGGGTCGCAAACACCGGCCAGACGCCGAGCATCACTAACCTGCAGTTACCAGGGTCTCAAACACTAGCCTCACTCACCCACAGCCACCAGGAGGGCAGTTCATGGGAAATGCGGCCCTCGGCTATTCTAGGAAAGTTCCATGGCATTTTGATGCATGTGTCTGCTGCTCCCGTCCCTCTTTTTTTTTTGATGGGTGGGGCGTATTTGGATCACACCTGGTGGTGCAGGTGCCACTCCTGGTGAGGTGCTGGGGTCACTCCTGGTGGTGCTGGGGGGATCAGGCCCAGCCTCCTGCATACAAATCATGTGCTCTGGGCCCCACACCATCTCCCCGCCCTCTGCCCCCTGCCTTCCCCCTCAGTGAGCTACTTGCCAACTCTGCCATAAGAGAGGGCCACAGTGAGAGTGGGCCTGTGCCTCCCGTGAGCCATAGCAGTCCTGTCCAGGTCTGATGGCATGGCACAGTGGTTAGCGCTCAGAAGAGGAGAACGGGAGTGGAGGGGTTTTAGGATATGGGCAGAAGCAGTGGAGAGGAGGAAGAGGAGGGGTTGGGGGGAGGGGGTTCAGGATATGGCCTGCAGCAGTGAGTCCCCGAGGCGCCAAGAAGAAAGGGAGCCCCGTAAGATGCTTCCCAGCCGTGCTCCCTGGGAACAGGCTCTTCTCCACCCTGCGCACTGCCTCCTTCCAGCAGCGCCAGCCCAGGGTCCCCTGGTCTAAATCACAGTCAGAGCCACCTCCCCTGGACCTGGGCTCCCCCAGGGCCCAGCACTCAGCGGGGGCGCAGGCGCAACTCGGCCACCACACCTTCCTCTGTTGGGAACGTGGGGACGACCAGAGGCCCCAGAGCCAGCCCCGCGAGAGGTACCAGATTCAGGATCTTCCCGAAAAGGCGTTAGGAGACCCACCAGGGGCCCGAGTCCTCCTCCCATCCGGGTCTCTGCGCTGCCATCTGAGTCACCCTTTCCTCTCCATGGGAACCAGCTGGGGTTTGTGGTGAGGTGCCGGCAGAGTCCAGGGGCCCTTCACGGTGCCGCCCGTGTCCGCTGCAGGCTATGCTGGTGTTTGTGCCAAACCTGCTGGGGGGCGGGGGGGGGGGGGGGTTGGAGCAATAGCACGGCTGGGAGGGCATTTGCTTCCATTCCCGGCATCCCATATGGTCCCCCGAGCACCATTAGAGTAATTCCTGAGTGCAGAGCCAGGAGTAACCCCTGTGCATTGCCGGGTGTGACCCAAAAATAAAAAAAATGCTATGGGCCACTCTCAGGGAACAGACCTCTCCCATAAACTCTGCCAGGATCTTCTTCCTGCCCTGGCTTCCCCCAGACTGCCCCCACAGACAGCTTTCACCTGTTGCCTCAACTGTTTTTTTTTTTTAATTGAATCACTGTGAGATACAGTTACAAGCTTTCATGTTTGAGTTACAGTCACACAATGATCAAACACCCACCCCTCCACCAGAGCACATTCCCTACCACCAATCTCCCCAGTAGAGCCCCCCTTTCCCACTCTCCCCCTGCCTCCATGGCAGACAATATTCCCCATACTCTCTCTCTCTACTATCGGGCATTGTGGTTTGCAGTACAGACACTGAGAGGTTGTCTTTCTGAGGCCTTAAAGATGTCTGCTTGGGGCTGGCATAATAGCACAGTGGATAGGGCATTTGCCTTGCATGCGGCCGACCCGGGTTCGATTCCCAGCATCCCATATGGTCCCCCGAGCACCACCAGGAGTAATTTCTGAGTGCAAGAGCCAGGAGTAACTCCTCTGTGTTGCCAGGTGTGATTCCCCCCCCCCCCAAAAAAAAGATGTCTGCTTCTTGGCAGCTTCATTTGTACACGGCGCTTTCCTAAATGTTCCTTGGGCTTGATGTTCAATTCGAAATTAATCCGATGCTTGCTCTGAATTGTTTTTCATGCTGGTGTTCCACATCTAGAGCTTTACAAACTCATCTTTTCTGTCTGCCCTTGTATCTCCCTTGGCCTTTTTTTCCCTCTAAGCAACAGAAGAAACATTCTACCTAGAATCTCTTCAGCCACACGCCCCCCCCACCCCCCACCAGGTCACTGGGTCGGGGTGCTGCTGGTGGTAGGTTTTTTCCTACTTGCTTTCCTGGTTATTGAAATCATGTTTGTACTTTTCTCTACCCCTGAGTGAAAATACCTTCTCTTCTAGTTGGCATGACACTCTCCTAATTCGCCTTCAGACTTGTCCCAGGGCCCTGAGGTCTCTCTGGGTGATTGCTGATGCTCTTTTCAGAATGCTCCGAGTTCCTGCCCACTCCCCTTGCCTCTGGTCCTTGGAGAATAGTGCTTCTTGGTCTCTGCTGCATCAAGGGCAGGGTAGTGCAGCTTCTCCCAGGATGGGGGAGGAAAGCCAACAGTATGTGAGCAGATTTACAAATCACAGTCAGGGACCTGGCGGGGTCATCGTGATTTCCCTTGTGTTCTGAAACTGCGGCGCTAGTGCTGTGGGAATCAAACTATCCCTTTGAAACATGTTTTTAAATTGAAGTGATAAGAAAAATTGTCTTGAACAATATTCATCTGCTTGGCTTGACGCTTTTGGACAGATGATCTTGAGGTCATCGGGCCGTTTCTGAATATGAAATAAACACACACACACACACACACACATGCATTTGTAATGACTGAGATCTGAGCCCCGCTCTCCGGGGCTCCTACTGTAAAGCCACTTCTCTGTGGCTGTGCTTTTCCTGACAGACTTGGAAATCCAGCGTTGTGTTCTCTCAGGAATGCTCTCTTGCACTGAAAGCTCACGTACTCAGAACTGGGCCTCTTCATGGCCCAGGTCTTCAGGGAACTCGTGCATCTAAGCTAAGCTTAGAATTTGATTTC